CCCTCAGCTTCCCTGTGGTAGGACGTATCACCAGTAAAGGATCTGGAAGCTGCCAGAGAGATAAGGCAGCTGGGATGATGCATCGTTTATTGGCCTAGCGTCTGTTGCTGGAGGGGGAGCGGGGAGAGATGCCACCCAAAGCGCCTTGTCAGGTCACTGTTGGGTTACTAGTTAACAGCCTGAGAGTGAATATTGACATCGCTTTTTCCCTTCCCCTCTTTAAAATATGCAGTCACAAAGATGCTTGTAACATTTCAGGGAAGTACATTGCCTCCACGCAACGCCCTGATGGGACCTGGCGGAAGCAGAGGAAGGTGAAGGAGGGATACGTGCCCCAGGAAGAAGTGCCAGTGTAAGTCAAATTCTGGTCCTTGCTGAACCTCCAGAGAGCAGGGGAGGGCCATTGTGGCTGGGCTGTTACGCAGTTCAACTCCTCCCATCTGCAAGCCTTGACAGCTCCCAACACTGAGATTATTTGCTTCTGTGGCTCCAAATGAGCACATTGTGCCTCAGCCCGTTCCACAGACAGGTAGCCTGCTTCCTCAGAGGTGGGCTAGGCAAGAAAGCGGCACTGGTTTCATTTAAGGTGCGACTTTTCAGCTGGTGGGAACTGCTGTATGCGCAGCTCCTTTGGATTCAGAGCGGTGTCTCTTCGTTTAGGTTCAACCTGTTCTTACAGCCGTGAGCTCACTTGAAGTAAGCCACTCAGAGAAATGTCCCCGTGGGTTTGCACTGGTGTAGGTTAAAATGTGGCAACTTCTGTATGTAGGCCTGAGACCCCTCCCTCCTTCCACTGGCTTCCCTTTTGGGTAAGAGCATCTCTTGTGATCAGCAATCCTCTCCTGTTCCACCTCTTAGCTGGGGGCAGCATAATGAGCCAGTCAGACATATGTTTGGGGCCTGCTCACTGATTGGGGTCGCTTTCCCCAGAGGATCCAAGAGGCCTTGTGGTCAGGTTAGAAACATGTTTAAAAAAGAAAAAATACAGCTTGGTGCTCTCCAGATCAGGCTAGGTGATCTCAAGGATGTTGTCTTGCTGCAAAGTTACGAATCCTTTGGATCTGCTGGTACAAGCCAGGCGTTCCTGTCAACTCTTGGAGTGCTGATCCCAGCTCTTCTCCCATGGCAGAGCATGTTCAGCGAGCTCCCAGGGCATTTGGCACAACTGCAGAAATCCCATGTTCACAGGTTGTTAGTGAGCATGAGGTGGGTGGGTTAGACTCCACATCAGGATGGGCAAAAGGCCCTTTGCAGGCTGGATCCAGCCTACCAAGTGGGTTAATCCAGCCCACAGAGGTCCTGCCATTCCTTTGCCTCTAGGCCAATCAGGGCCTAGGGAAAGGGGAGCGCTCGGTGCTTAGTCAGTCCTGGGGATTGACTCTAAGCACTGTGTGGCAGACAGTAGGGAGCAAGAGACTTTGTCCCCCTCTTCCCCCCCCCCACCCTCAGGCCAATCAAGACCTGGGGGGGAGGGGAGCATGGAAGTGTCCTGGCCCCACCCCTTCTGAGGGGTGGCCCCTTCTGGGGCCACCTCAATTTCTGAAGTGGCTCCTGGTCAAAAATTATTGCTCACTCCTACTCCACATGGTGTTGTGGATCTGCCAGTCCTGATGGGAGCTCATTGTCAGAGCTGGGACATGTCTCCCTCTCCTAGCTTTTACTAGAGCCTTGCATGGTTGCAAAATTGCAGAAGCAAGTATCTGCAGAAGCAAGTTGCTGATATCTGCATCTGAGTCTGTGGGTATAAAGTAGGTATCGACAGATTTGCAGGGTTCTAGATAACAAATGTGTTCACCTGCGTGTGAATTAGCTGGGGATGTCCACATTCACATCTGCGGGTGTGGATATCGGCAGATTTGCGGGTCTGCAGCTATAATCGATCACTAATAGGCTTGTCAACTTCCTAGGCCATCTTACTGGGCCACTCAGTTGTGGGAATGTGGCTGTTGGTGTACAGGTGGTAGGTTCTACTCCCCTTGGAGCACTAACGATGGCCTCCCTGCGCTCATCTCCCAAGGCCTTAACCTGCCTCAGAGGGCGCCCGGAATCTTTCTAAGAGTTTTCAGCGAGGTAGTGCCGAGGGCTGCACATAGGGCCAGCTTCCCTGCATGCAGTTCTTACACACCAGACGTCCTCCCTCGCTGGCCCAGCGTGAGTCATCCTGTTGGGCCACGTCTGTCAGGAAATGATCATGTCCCATGATCCCAAATCAAGCCCCTCGTGCCCCAGCGCCCCTTCGGCTGTAATGATTTATAACCATGTGTATGTACTGTTGGGTTACATCGTGAGATCTGAGTCTTTTTCCAGGTGCCTGACCAACTTTGACCCCCTCTTATACACTACGATGTAACCTGGCGGTATGTATTAACTCCCCTTATAAATCATTCTGGTGGGGTGGCTTCGGCAGGGCTCTGACTGTGTCCTAGCTGCGAGGATTACCTCTACCAGCATTTTGCTAGTCTCAGGCATAGCGCTTAGGTACTTGCAAACTCCCAGGGTTTTGCCAAAAGAGTCTAATGTTCTAAGTGCATCTGGTACATGGAGGCTCGCTCCTCTGGTCTGGGCATCTCCTCCCGCCCTGAGGGTGGGGGTGTCAAATGCTGGGGATTCCTTTGCCCTTTAGAGTTGTCACTCAGTGATGCTGCTGTCCTGAGGTGAGGTGCTGAACACTTGGGGCTCAAGGGGGGGCTGTGACTGGATCAGTGGGCTGGGTGTACAGCAGCACTCCGGGTGCCTCCCAAGTGCCACTGCAGTGGGTTTAGGGCATTTGACCTGAGGGCTGTGGCTGTACCAGTTGGTTGGTTCCTGTGGGCTGCGTGTGAGAGAGGGAGAGGAAAGTCCTGATGGGTTTTGTTCTGCGCAGGTACGAGAATAAGTATGTGAAGTTTTTCAAAAGCAAACCAGACCTGCCCCCCGGTCTGAGCCCTGAGGCCAACATGCAGCCAGGCAAGCAGGCCGCCAAGGCGGAGAGCAGTGAAACAGGACTGTCCAAGACAACCAAGAGGAACTTGAAACGTAAGGAGAAGAGGAAGCAGCAGCAGGAGAAAGGAGAGAGGGAGACGGACGAACTGATCCAGTCACTGGAGAAGACCACCCTCTCGGGGGGCAGCAGCCGGGAAGGGGGCACACCAGGGGATGGTAAGTCAGCCACACAGCAGCCCTGTGGGGGGAAGGCCCTGGGGGATGGGGACTCCTCAGCCTCGGAGAAAACAAAGAAGATGAAAAACCTGAAGAAGAAGCTGCGGCAGGTGGAGGAGCTGCAGCAGCGGCTTGACTCTGGGGAAATAAAGCAGCCGACAAAGGAGCAACTGGAGAAGCTGGCACGGCGGAAAGCGTTGGAGGAGGAGCTGGAGGATCTGGAACTGGATTTGTGAGGGGGGCCTGGGAGGGGACTCTGACCCAGACACGGTGCGCACAGGGTGAATGAATTCTGCCACCTCTGGCCACCACAGCCCCAGCTTCCTCCTTCGTCCCTGGTGGGTTTTGTCGACTGCTGCCGGATTTTTAAGAACAATTTTCCCAGCTCTCGATGTGTTAGACGTACGCTGACTTTTCACATACCTCTCTCCTTTTTTATTATTTTATTGGGGGGAGGGAGGCTGGGGGTGTCATGGGGAGTGGTGGGCGGGGAGAGCATCCCACGGTGGCAGGGTGGGAGCATGTGTGTTTCCCGAGCCCCATAGGATTCTCAGATCCTGTGTTCTGTGTTCCAGCCACTCCTCCTTTGATTTTTAAAAATGACGCAATAATAAAATTGCAGTAGTGACCTCAGCGTCTGGGACTTTTTTCCTTCTTTGAGCCATGCTGCCTTCTAGCCCCTTCCAGAGTTGCTGGCTTCCCTAGAGAGTCTGCTCCGCGTGCTGCAGGGAAGGCAGAAAAAGCTGAGAACACTCAGCCTCTGCCTTGCAGCCCCATGCTTGGTGTGAACCTCCCCAGAATGCACGGCACTTCGCTCTGTCTCATGACCTGCTGAGCAGAGAACTAGTCAATGGTTCTGGCCTTTAACCTGTCCTCACTGGCTTTGAGATCGTATCTGTTACAATGACCCTCCAGTGGATTTTTTTTTTCGGGCTCTCTGTGAACTCGGGAAGGGGCTGCTCCATCAGTCCCCATGTTCCAAGTTTTTTCCTTTACAAATCTCACTTCTAGAGCCTCTGATAACTGAAAGGACAGTCGGTGGGGAAGGGGGCTGGCTGTGCACTTGGCTAGCCCAGGAAGGGGAGGACAGTACCTCATGGCTACGTCTAGACTAGCATGATTTTCCGCAAATGCTTTTAACGGAAGAGTTTTCCGTTAAAAACATTTGCGGGAAAGAGCGTTTAGATTGGCACGGATGCTTTTCCGCAAAAGCACTTTTTGCGGAAAAGCGTCTGTGCCAATCTAGACGCACTTTTGCGCAAAAAAGCCCCGATTGCCATTTTCGTGATCGGGGCTTTTTTGCACAAAACAAATCTGAGCTGTCTACGCTGGCCCTTTTGCGCACAAGGACTTTTGCCCGAAAGGGAGCAGCACAGTATTTCCGCAAGAAGCCCTGATTTCTTACATGAGATCGTCAGTGTTCTTGCGGAAATTCAAGCGGCCAGTGTAGACAGCTGGCAAGTTTTTCCTCAAAAGCAGCTGCTTTTGCAGAAAAACTTGCCAGTCTAGATGCAGCCCATGTGTGGAGGGTATGTTGGTGTAAGAGTAACTGGCTTGAACCCTCTGTAAAGAGACCTGTTCTGACTGACACTGGCCAGCAGGTGGCTCTGTAGAGACAGTCTAGGCCCTGGAGTATGGTGGGCAGTGTTGCCTTAGATGCCTAGGGATGGGTTAAAAATGAGAATCTTGGTACCCGTTCTAGTGAGGCCTGTTCCCCTGCATTGTGGGCCCAGGTTGCCCTTGGGAGCAGAATCTGCTAAAGCTTAGCCAAGTTCTAAGCCGTGTAAACAGGGTCTTATCACAGAAAAGTTTGTATAACCTTAATAGGGAGTACTATTGGCTCAGGCACGGTGGCTGGCTGCTGTTGGACAAGGGAGACTGGCTTGGATGTGAGTCCAGGACCGAGATCCCTCCGTGTGTTTGGCGTTCTCCGTCTAACTGTCTTGAGTGCATGGATGCTCCTGGGGGGCAGGATTCTTCTGTGTTCGTGCAGCATCCAGCATGCTGGGCCCCACATCTCCTCTGGCTGCTATTAGTATGTAAATAATACAGGGCAGAGGCCTCTGCAAGTCAGGGCTCTGCCCGTGGCTGCCTCCTACTGGCCAGCCCCTGTAGGCTGGTTCTGAGATGACATTGCTCAGTCCCCTCTGCAGGGCCAGGCCTAGGGATGTAAATGGTTAACCAGTTAACACATAAGCCTCATCCTTAATGGCCACAGCTGTCCAGCTGTTTGAGAGCAAGGCAAAGTGCAGCAGGGGCCAAGTTCTGGAGGGCCCAGGCAAAGGGATGGAGGCTTCACTGCCGCAGAACCCAGCAAAGCCACTGACAATCCCAAGAGTTTTGTTTAAACCCTTTCGCACTCCCTCCTCTGCACCCCCAGTGTTCCTTAATGGGTGAGGGTTACTGCTTCAGTTACTGGTAGGGGCTGGCGCAAGTCCCTGCCCACCCTGGACATGGGTCTGCTCCAGCCCTGCTGGGCCCCCCACAGAAAGGGGCTGCTGTGGCTGGCCGGATCTGCCCTGTCCATGGTAGGCCCAGCTAGGGATATTAAATTGATTCATCATCTAATGGAGTAGTTGATGGAATTTCCATCAACTAGTCAATAACGGGGAGGTGGGGCATTCTATCCCGGCTGCGCCTCAGCCTTTTCAATGTAGTAAAGGCTGTCTCTGTGGCCCTTACTGCATTGAAAAGGCAGAAGAGCAGCAGGGACCCATGGGGCAAGTGTGTTCTGACTGCGGTGCTACAGCCCAAGGGGCTCTTGCTAGGTTTCAAAAGCAGAAGCACAGCAGACAGAACCTGGCGTGTGCACCGTTTCCCCTCTGTGCTTCTGCCCCTTCCCTGGTCCTCTGTGGAGATGGTGCTGGGGAGAGCCAGCTTCCTCCAGCACCTGCTTGTCCCCCCCCCATAGAGGGGTTGGGGTGTGACTAATGTTGTCACTGCCTCAGGTTACGCACTGTCCAGCCCAGCTCCATTGCCTCAGGTTACATGTTGGCTCCCCGGGAGTGGGGGCTGGCAGTCCCTATTGACCATGTTCCCAGAGAGGCTTGGTTGTGGGCTCTGTATTAAGGATGTTAAATATCGGTTAACTGAATAGTCGAGCAACCTCATGAATTCTTATTGGTTAGTCGACTTTTCTATAGTCCCTGGGGGGGGGATCAGCAGCCAGTGCACTCCAGCCTCACTCCTGAGAAGACCCCTGTCACTGTGCTGGTGCCTCTGTATCAGAGGCTACATCTAGACTACAGGCTTCTTTCAGAAGCTTTTTTTGGAAGAGAGCATCCACACAGCAAAAGTGCATTAGAAAAGCAATCTGCTTTTTCGAAAGAGTATCCCAACTGAATGGATGTGCTTGCATGTAAACTGATATTACTGTAGACGGCGTGGCCGCCGGGGCACCTGTGCTTTTTCCTTTTTCCTCCTCTTCCAAAAGAACTCCCTCTTCCCCGTCCACACATGCCTTTTTGCGAGAGAGTTCTTTGTAAAAAGGCTTCTTCCTCGTAGAATGAGGATTACCAATACCGGAAAAAACCCTCTGTTCCTTTGATTTTTTTTCTTGCAGAAGAATGCAATTGCAGTGTGGAGTTTTGTTGGAAAAAAACTATTTTTCTGACACAACTCTGTAGTGTAGACATACCCACAGCCAGCAGTGCAGGGTGCCACCTGGGAGCTGGTTGGTGAGGGGAGCCAGTTTAAAAACTAATAGAGGCAAAGGTACGGGCTGGCAGCAGCCCATGTAGGGTGGGTGTGAGCTCACTAATAGAGGCAAAGGTACGGGCTGGCAGCAAAGGGTGGGTGTGAGCTGCTGGCCCCAGTGCAATCTGCAACCGAGCTGGGCTGCCTGCCTGTGCGGGTCCTAATATGCTTTAAAGGCAGAGCTGCAGCAGGGGTAGGTCCTGGACCCCTCGCAAACCAGGATTGAGCCGGGCTGCTGGCCAGCCTGCTAAAAAATGTACTGGCGTGCGTGTGCGCGTGTTTGGGGAGGGGGACAAAAATGCATGTTTGTTGGTTAATCGGTTAACCGACTACTTTTACATCCCTACTCTGTATACAAGCTTTGTACTGCAGAGGTTTTTAGTGGTTACACAGTTACATTTTTTTAAACCTCCTACTTCTATCCTGAGCCAGGTCCTGGGTTCACTTCTGCACCACAGGTCCTTGGGCCAGCTTGATTCCAGGACAACTTTGTGGACCCACTGGAATTGGGTCAGCATCTCCCCTCTGTCTGCTCCTGAGGCCAGAGCAGCACAGCAGCTTGTTGCACTGATGCAGCTGGGGGTTGCATGAGCTCATGACAAAGGCTCTAGCCCCATGAAAGAGCTATAAGTGGCCTTAGAGCGGGCTCAATGCCAGTGTCTGAAGAGGGCGAGTGGGTGTAGGTTGCCCAGTGGGGGAACTGGGGTCCTAGTGGCAACTGTGCCCTGGGACATGTAGGGCAGGTGACTTGATTCTCAGCTTACCCTGCTGTGAGGCTCTGAGCCAGGCTCCACCTCGCTCTGTCTCTTTGAGCAGAATTCTGCAAGTGTAGATGTGGGGTTATCTGCCCCTTTACTCTCCGCTCCGGTGGCTGGGAAAGGGTCGTGAGTTATGTAGACCATGTGGTCTCCTGCCAGTACTGCCCAGGGTGCCATCCTGCCCTGATGTGCCTGAGCATGGGGGGTGGGGGGGAGTTGCCAGAGCAGCAGCCCCCAATGTTTCATGGTAATACGTCATTGCCCTCCCACGCACCCCCCCGATGACTCTGTCATCCCTGCAGCTGTGGGTCATACCAGGCCCCCCGTGTGTGTCCCAGCCTGGCGGGTTAGTGGGTAGCAACGGCTTTCAGGGACCGGAATGGGTGACTAAAAGCTGCATCGAACACTGCTTGGCCTGTGTGTTGCCATAGCGACTGGAGCTTGACTAAGTGGGAGAGATGCCAGGCCCTGAGCAATGTCACTCTGTGGTGGGGCCATAAGGGGCCTGGACAGTGGGGGTGGGAGTAGAACCCAGGGGTCCTGGCTCCCCCTCTCCCTGGGGTGACCTCTAGGCAGGCCCCTGGTGGCCTGGGGCCACTGCCAGGGGGAAGCAGGGTCCTACCTTCCTTGCTGCTGGCAGCAATGATGTGTCCCTGCCATGGGGCTGTGGCTGCGGACTTGGGCCTGCTGCTGTGTAAATACCGGCCCATGGGGCATAGACAGTCCTCAGCCTTTCCTCTGGCCCCGACACACACAGGGCCCGTGGCTCCATTCCCGAGCTGGGCCCTGCCCTTGGAGCTGTTGCTGTGTCTATTCACCCGGAGCTGCTGTCGCTGTGGGGGTTGTAAACCCCTGCCCAAGGGGAGCGCATGAGACCTGCGGACACCTTGCACCCCTGGTGCAGGCAGAGAATCCCCTGATCTTACCGTCTCTCTCAGGGTGGAGGGGGGCAGGGCTTAACCTGTCTGCTTGCAGCCCCTTCAAACAGTGGGAAACTATTAGTATTATTTTTTTGGAGTTGGGGGGGGGGTGAAGGCCTTGGGGGGGGTGCTGGGCAAACATGATGCCGGTGCCAGAGCCCTGTCCTGCGGAGCGAAGGGCACAGACTCAGGTGGGGAAGTACCACGCCTGCTTTTGCAAGGGGAGAAACTGAGGCAAAGTGTTGAGACAGTGACTTAGTTAAGAGCACTAAGGGATCTGGACTTCTGCCCTGGCGCTCTTGAGCACTGGCCAGGGCTGCTGCAAGTGGACGGGAGCAGGGGCTTTGTGTGAGCTGAGAGCCAGGGCACTGCAGCAGGGCTACC